CTGGACCTCCTGACTTTGTAGCTCTACCCTGCTTCCCTCAAGGCTGTTGAGGTTCAGCATACCTGAGTAGGCACCTTGCAAGCAGGTGTCTGAGCATCATCCATCACCCGGGTGGTACCCCCTCCTCCCGTTGCCATGGTGATGGAACTTCAGCTGAAGTTCCATCCTGTCAGGACCATTGTAAAGCCTGCCACAAACAGCCAGTAGAACCAGTTTCTTGCCTAAAGCAGTTTTGCTCTGTGTACTAAAAACCCTACTTAGGAAAGAGAGGCAGGGAAGAAGGGATAGAGACACTGTCTGGCTTCACCTCCGTGAGGAAGTTTTATTTCACAGCCACGTCTCCATTCCCAGGCCAAAGAGTGAGTGTATTTTTGGCGGAACTTAAAAATAACTGGATTAAAGGATCAGGTCACCTATTACCTGGGGGAAAGGGTTTCTAATTTAAATACTGTGCCGTAGGAGGAAGTAATCTGGGTTATTCAGAGTGAGGAAACCTGGTTGCAGAAAAGGCGCCTGATGTTTGGATAATTTGGGTCACACTGCATGAGCCAAAGAGGTCGAAGTTGGTAACGGACATTGTTAGGAGGTAACGGCCAGCGTGGGATGGGCAAGTTGGGGAGCTGAGAACACAGCAGGCCTAAGTGGAAGCGTCAGCTTCATGTTTGTCCTTAGAGTGAAGCACATCTTCCCGGTGTCCCCGGGCCCTGCCAGACCTGTGAAGGAAAATGCATTCTTCTTTCTGTCCCCATGTGCCCAGCACTAGGACCCCAGGGGCCCTGTGGGGGAAGAGCACACTGCCGGCCACTGCTTCAGCTGGCCAGGTATCCAGACCTTATGCATTTTCTTTGCAAACTAAACAGGCTTCTAGAATCTCACCCATGCTGGATCTCTGTGGTACAGGGAAGGAGTGCCAGCCTTTTTTCATGGTATCTGTTGCGATGACTGGGATGTTAATATTTTGTCATCAGAGCAAGCAGGGGACCTGCCTCAAGGCCAGTCCCGAGGGTCAAGGCCCCGGGCTGAAAGGGAAGTCAGCACCCCATTTCTAGCTGGAGGGACCTGCAGGTAGAGCAGAAGATGGGAGCTGGTACTAATCTCCAGGGAGCCTGTCTCTGGCTGGTTCTGGATAAAGAGAAGAAAAGGGGTCTTTGATGCCAGGTCATGAGTCTCACGTGACTTCTAGAGAGTCAAGTGTGCAAAGGGTCACCCAGAAAGCCAAGCCAATGCTTTCCCTGTCATTTCCCTGCCTCCCGCCACTGAGCACACCTCTGGAAGCACTAGGCTAGGAAGAACTGGCCTTCAGATCCTGGCTCTGCCACTTACTAGCCAGGCGATCCTGGGGGAAAAAATCTCTGGGCTTCTCTAAACCTCTTATTCTAATGTTTTATATATTTTTTAAGTAGAATTTTAAAAATTATTATTGATTTGAGAGAGAGAGAGGAAGGAAAAGGGAGAAAGAAACAACAATGATGAGAGAGAATCACTGATCAGTTGCCTCCTGCATGCCCCCTACTGGGGATTGAGCCCACAACCTGGGCATGTGTCCTGACCAGGAATTGAACTGGGGACCTCTTGGTTTATGGGTTGATGCTCATCCACTGAACCACGCTGGCTGGGCGCCTTATGTAGTTATTAGACAAACACATCTGGGTCAGCAATGGCAGCTTTAGATGCATCCTGCCTACCAGGTTATAGTAAAAGTGAAACAGGACAGTCAAAGGGTCTGGACTGCCTGTCACTCCTGGAGCCAATTAAGCAGAGACAGGGTTGATCATGTATGAATGTGTAATCCAATAATGCTGGCAGTATGGAGAGCAGCAGGTTACCTTGAATACCTGCTCTGCACCGCTTCCCCCCAAAAGCCCACTGCTTATATTGGGTAGAAGGACAAAACTTACCTGGGGAAGCAGGCCAACACATTTTACAAGTACATATAAAACTATTGTCTCTAGCCCAGACTGGTTTGGCTCAGTGGATAGAGCATCGGCCTGCGGACTGAAAGGTCCCAGGTTCGATTCCTGCCAAGGGCATGTACCTTGGTTTCGGGCACATCCCCGGTGGGGGGTGTGCAAGAGGCAGCTGATCGATGATTCTCTCTCATCGATGTTTCTAACTCTCTCTCTCCCTTCCTCTCTGTAAAAAATCAATAAAACATATTAAAAACAAACAAACAAACAAAACAAACTATTGTCTCTAACTTCAAAGAAGTCTCAGCTCTGGTGGATTGTAGATGCTGCAACTGCACCTCGCGTGCAGACAGACGCAGCAGGATTGTTACTCCATAGTGGGTGTTAAACAGCCACCGAACTCTGAACCAAAGGCCGGGCCTGGGGCTGTTTAGTTCTCAGGCTTCATGCACCACTCCTACGGGTGTTCAAGCCAAAGTGCTCACACTGTTCATAGACCCTCCTCATAGAAGGTTGGGAAATATGTCCAACCCACACATTTGAACACCACCATTTTCTAACTGTTTATTATGCTCATTGACAAGCCATTCACTTCACAGATGGAAATTCATTTCTCACCTTAATTGTGCCAATTAGCAAAGCCTCTGGGGAGTTACAGAGAGCTCACCTACTGGAGGAAGGAAGCCGCCCCTTGGGGAGCTTGGAATTCCAGAGTAGATCCTGCTAGACCACTGTCAGCACGTATATCCCCGATGAGGATAGCTGTGTGCACCTGGAATAGAAGTTAAACACACACACACACACACACACACACACACACACACACAGCTGCATGGCATTGTCTCTGCCCAAGTGTTTTGAAGTAAATGGTAGAGGAGACATCCGGACCAGCTGACAGCTATTCTGGGAAGACAGGTGCCACGCTGTGAGGGCTCCACGTGAAGTGGGAGCAGGGACAGCCGATGACTTCCCATGGGTCCCCCACCACCCTAGGTTTCCTCTGACCTTTGAAAGCCCAGTTTGGTGGTTCTTTCACGTCCTCTTGTTTTTTGTTTTGTTTCGATTGGGGCATAGTTTATTCCAGAAAGGGTTTTTCCAGTCCATGTATTGAATATGTGTTTTCTCTCTGAATCTGGAATCAGGTTCATGTTATCTGAAGCAAAGAGAAAATCTTGGCCTTTCTGATCTTCAGAGGGAGCCATAAGCATTTGTTGGTTTTGGACAAGACAGCGTTGAATGATGTCAGCCTAGACTCCTGCCAAATTCCGACTACGGGGTTTCTAGCCCGTTTTCATTTACCTGTGTAGTCACTGGTGGCTTCAATCACACCAGGCTTTCTTGCATGAAGGCGAATTCTTCCTGCTGGGAATGGAACCCGGGAATTTGCTCTTCTGGTAGGCTCTGGGACCTCTGATGCATGATTATGAATCAACACTGCAAAGCTGTTTGTTTCTTTGGAGTATTTCTACCCTGACCAGCGTTTAGAGCTTGGAGCTGCTGCTCCCCGAAGAGGATGGAATGGTCTGGAAGGACTTTCTAAATTGATACCTATCTTCCCAGAATAGCTGTCAGCTGCTAGTGAGGCTGTCTTATGGAAAGAAGAGGAAGAGGCGGGGCACAAGTAACGAACAGAAAGGAGAGCCTCTCTCCCGGTCACACCCTCCAGTGTCTAAATATGTACTTTTAGCCGAAACCAGTTTGGCTCAGTGGGTAGAGCGTCGGCCTGTGGACTGAAAGGTCCCAGGTTCGATTCCCATCAAGGGCACATCCCCAGTTGGGGGTATGTAAGAGGCAGCTGACCGATGATTCTCTCATCGATGTTACTAACTCTCTATCCCTCTCTCTTCCTCTCTGTAAAAAATCAATAAAATATATTAAAAATAAATAAATATATACTTTTCAATGTGTTGTTGGAAAAGAACCATCTCGCAGTACACGGGGGCTGCAAACTTTGGCCTTCACCAATAATTAGCACTGTAAAAGCCTCAGTTGGATGCATCACAGAAGACCTAACGAATAGACTTCATGATTTCTGACGGAAAGGCGAAGGTAGTTTTTTGACACTGCAAACACGTGCTGTGGCATTTTGCATTGGAACAGCTGTTGCCAGTTCAGAACGTATGCCTTGGGCAGAACTGCTGTAATGTTTAAGTTCTAACAAAGAAAGCTGTCAGGGCATCCTCGCGTCCTCTGTCCAACACTGAGCTGTGGAGCGTCCAGGACAAAGAGGCAGGCTGACGTGAGGAGCCACGCAAGCACTCTGGGAAATGCGGTGGAGGGAGGCTCAGGCACTGCTGTGTACAGGAGGTCAATGTGGGCAAGGTTTTTACTTCCCCCGGCTACAATAGCCGTACTGCATTTGGCAGAGAATCATGTTTTCAAGGTTTGTTCGTGTAGAAGGACCTTCTTTTTACAGTTGGGGACACATAAACACTGCTGTTACATTTGTGCAATCATTTGCTGTGACTATTTTGCAAGTCTGCTACAACTGCTATAGAATGTCTTGTACTTTCGGAGATATTTGAGCATGTCTTCAAATGATCCGAGTCCTAATTCACTTCTTAAAATTAAATTTATACATTTTTTAATTTTAAAAATAAGTTTTTAATGATTTTAGAGAGAGAGGAAGGGAGAGGGCTAGAGAGATAGAAACATCAATGAGAGAGAGACATCCATCGGCTGCCTCTTGCACGCTGCACACTGGGGATGGAGCCCACAACCCGTCATGGGTCCTGACCAGGAATTGAACTGGGGACCTCTTGGTCCATGGGTTGACACTCAACCACTGAACCACACTGGCCAGGCCCTAACTTACTTTTAAATTTAAAAAAAAAAAAAAAAAAAATGGGCCTAGCATCGATTGAACATTCTCTGGACGCCTGGTAAACAGAATGGAATCTGTGAAATGGACAGGGGCAGGTACTGTGGCCACCACCACATGAGCTTGTGGAGCCTTGTGGGAAGGGAAATTCGAGAGGACTTGTCGTTGTTGTCTCCATGTCCCTTCCTGTTAGTTAACAGTCATTTTCTCACTCTTCACATCCATACGAGGTGTAGTGTCTAACCCTGCCTTTCATGTCCTCTTTGTTCCAGAAGCCTCCCCAGCTCTCCGAGGATGATATCCGGCTGAGCCACGAGAGGGACCACTGTAGTGCCAACCCCCTGGACGCTGTGATCAGCCCTCTCCCCTCCAATCACAAAAACATGGAAATTGAGGTCTCCGTGGCAGAATGTAAAAGCGTTCCCGGAATCACCTCCGCGCCACATTCCATGGACCCCCCCTCCCCTTTCTACGCGCCCCCCCACAATGGCCTCCTCGCGGATCACCACGAGTCTCTGGATAACGACGTGGCCAGTGAGATCCGCTATCTAGACGAGGTGCTGGAGGCCAACTGCTGCGACTCCTCTGCGGACGGACCTTACAACGGCACGTCCTCCCCGGAGCCCGGCGCCGCCGTCCTGGTGGGCAGCCCGAGCCCACCTGCCCACACGGCCATCCAGCCGGAACCCACGGAGAGAGCTGCCCGCAGGCAGGTGCCTCCTCACATCGAGCTCAGCAAGAGCAACTCGGACACCATGGCGGAGGGCGAGAGAGCCAACGGCCTCTCCCCGGACCAGCCCAGAGAGCTGCTGGGGGACAGCCTGCAGGCGCCCGCGAGCCCCAGCTCCTCCACCAGCTCGTGGTGCTCCTCCCGGGATGGCGAGTTCACGCTCACCACGCTGAAGAAGGAGGCCAAGTTCGAGCTGCGCGCCTTCCACGAGGACAAGAAGCCCTCCAAGCTCTTCGAGGACGACGAGAAGGAACAGTACTGCGTCCGGAAAGTGAGGCCCACGGAGGAGATCCTGGAGCTGGAGAAGGAGAGGCGGGAGCTCATCCGGAGCCAGGCCATGAAGAAGAACCCGGGCATCGCGGCCAAGTGGTGGAACCCGCCCCAGGAGAAGTCCATCGAGGAGCAGCTGGACGAGGAGCATCTGGAGTCGCACAAGAAGTACAAGGAGCGCAAGGAGCGCCGGGCGCAGCAGGAGCAGCTGCTGATGCAGCAGCAGCCCCCGCTGCCGCCGCTCTGCGGGGCCCCCGCCTCCCCCCGGGAGCCTTCCGGCACGGCCACCAAGACCAAGGAGGACATTGTCACCGAGCAGATCGACTTCTCTGCTGCCCGCAAGCAATTCCAGCTCATGGAGAATTCCAGGCAGCCCTTGGCCAAGGGCCAGAGCAACCCCAGGCTCTTCTCCATCAAGCCATTCTACAGGCCCCTGGGTTCCGTCAACTCAGACAAGCCACCGACCATCTCGAGGCCAGCTTCCCTCGGGGGTCCCGCAGAAGACGGGGGCACCTCGGCGGCCAAGGGGCAGAAGGCCCCCGGTGCCCAGGAGAGTCAGCCTCCGGGCGGAGGCCACGGCGGCGCCACGCCTCCGGGGAAGGAAGGGCCCTACAGCGAGCCCTCCAAGCATGGCCCCCTGTCCAAACTGTGGGCCGAGGACGGAGAATTCACCAGCGCCAGGGCCGTCCTCACCGTGGTCAAGGATGATGACCCTGGGATTTTGGATCAGTTCTCGAGGTCTGTTAACGTCTCTCTGACCCAGGAGGAGCTCGACTCTGGCTTGGAGGAGCTGTCCGTGAGGTCCCAGGACACCACTGTCCTGGAGACCCTGTCCAATGACTTCAGCATGGACAACATCAGCGACAGCGGGGCCTCCAACGAGACGGCCAACGCCCTCCAGGAGAACTCGCTGGCTGATTTCTCTCTGCCCCAGACCCCCCAAACGGACAACCCCTCTGAAGGCCGAGGAGAAGGTGTGTCCAAGTCATTCAGCGATCATGGTTTCTACTCCCCTTCCTCCACGCTGGGAGACTCTCCGTCGGCCGAGGACCCCTTGGAATATCAGGCCGGTCTCCTGGTCCAAAATGCCATCCAACAAGCCATAGCCGAGCAGGTGGATCGCGCTGGGTCCGGGCCCAGAAAGGGTGGCGCAGAGCAACAGGCAAGGCCCAAAGCGACTCGAGAGGAAGCCGGGACGGGGGCTCCTCGCTCAGAGAAGCCTCAGAGCACGTTTGAACCCCCTCAGGTGTCCTCCCCTGTTCAAGAGAAAAGGGATGTATTACCAAAGATCATGCCTGCCCAAGACAGGGCGCTCAGGGAACGGGGACCCTCCTCCCCACCGCCCGCCGTGCAGGCCAGCGGCCCCATCAACATGGAGGAGACCAGACCAGAAGGGAGCTATTTCAGCAAGTACTCGGAGGCCGCGGAGCTGAGGAGCACAGCCTCGCTCCTGGCCACTCAGGAGTCTGACGTGATGGTCGGGCCCTTCAAGCTGAGGTCGAGGAAGCAGCGGACTTTGTCCATGATCGAGGAAGAGATCCGAGCAGCCCAGGAGAGGGAAGAGGAGCTGAAGAGGCAGCGACAGGTCTTGCAGAGTACCCCGAGTTCCAGGGCAAAGAACGCCCTGTCGCTGCCCTCCCGAACCTCATGCTACAAGACCGCTCCAGGTAAGCACAGCGCCGCCCCCGCCGGAGGCAGGTGTTACCGGTGGATTTCAGCTCACAGGTATCTAGGCGGAGTCTCCTCCGGGTGTGGCTGGAATACGAGTCCAGGCTACCCAGGCGCAGGGACTTCAGCATATGGTTCATGTGATGGGAGTGTCAGAGCGTCCTCTGGAGGAGCCCTGAGCCTGGATGGTGTTAGCCCTTTCCCAGAGGAATGGAACGCAGTAGGCCTGTCTCATTATCCTGCTCTGGTCTGGGTTTAGGGCAGAGGATTGTTCTCTCTTATTTGAAGGGGCTGCTGCTTGGCAATGGGAGTGACTGGGTGGGACTGTTGGAGTTCACCGCTTGACCCTTAGTGTCTGTAGTTAAATCAACCCAACTGGTTTGGGGAATGTGCTCTGCTAACCCCTCCTGATGCGAGGCCCCTTCCCACCAATGACAGTCATGACTTGGTGCTGCAGATTGACCCATAGAAGATGCTTTTGTCCGTCTTCTCGGTGATTGGCTTTGCCTTTCATCCTCACAAAGCAAGTACTTTGGAATTAGCGGTGGTCTCCTCTGTTCGTGTTCTATGATCCATTTGGAGAAGCTGAGTTGCCAGACAAAAAGGCAGGTCTTTCACCCTCTCTCAGTGCCTGGGCAGTCCCTTTCTGGAATACTTTGTATAGGTGTTCGATGCTAATGATATGATCATTATTATCGCTGCCAGGATGAGTGACAAGGTAGACCAGTAGCTTTTATTTCCCATTTGGCTATGATTGTGATTGGAAACCCACACCTCCTGTCACGGAGAGATGCTGCAGACCGTGTGGCCTCAGCTAGTCTGTGAGGTGTTTGTTATGGGGCTGTGCTGACATAAATACAGACAGTGGGAGTCAGTTCTGGAAACTCTTGTAGCAATTTGATGTTGTCCTCCAATCCAAGTGTGGGACTTTGTAGTTTTAAAAGGTATTGAAATAGATTGGGGAGGAAAAAACTGTTTTTTCATCAGAAATAATTTCAAAGTATTACCCTAATGCCGTGGTCGGCAAACTGCGGCTCGAGAGCCCCATGCGGCTCTTTGGCCCCTTGAGCGTGGCTCTTCCACAAAAATACCACTACGTAGGTAAGTCTGTTTTGAAGAAGTAGCGTTAGAAGATGTTTAAGAAATTTGGCTCTCAAAAGAAATTTCAATCATCGTACTGTTGATATTTGGCTCTGTTGACTAATGAGTTTGCCGACCACTGTCCTAATGTATATTTTAAATCTTTGTTGTTGAAAGTATTACATATGTCCCCTTTCATCCCCCATTGACCTCTCCTAACAGTGCTTCCAATTCTCAACACTCTCTTGATGCTTGGCTTCCATCAAATCAACAATGGTGCAAGGGAACTCTTTCGGTTAATCCTTTTCAACCTAAAGAAAAGTTGCCACGTTTAAATATCTTTTTTCATTCTGAACGATATGGGAGAAATCTATGTTTCTGCTTTTACTTTCTCTCTTCCAAAGATGGAGGATGATAAGGTTTCTATTTTTAAAAGGATATAGTCATTTTCAAAGAACAGTTATTAGAAAAAAACATCTGGAAGTTTTATCTTATTGGTTCTGGTGTGATGTTGAAAGGAAGGAAGAAGTTCTCCATAAATAGGGTCTGTGTGTGTTACCTTTGTTCACACGGAGGGGAACAAGGCAGTTCCTGCCTTTGGGGAACTTAGACTTCAGGAAGAAAAACAACCCCACACAGAGGTGGAAATTTTGTGACAGAGAAGCACGGAGATAAGCACAGAAGACCACCTCCCTGTGTTATCTCTACACATCTCCAAGCTGTCCTGCCTTCATGCATGAACTGATGGACTCAAAGTCTCCCTGCTTTAGTGAGTTCATTCCACCAGCTTCTACTGAGCTCTTCCTCTGAATGAGCACTTCTGAAGGCATGCCGCCAGCTTGACGCGTGACATGTGTTCTATGAGAGACCATACTCCCGAGAATGAACACACGTGCGCCTCCTGTGCCTGGTCCTTAGTAGAACATAAAGGAAGGGCTCCGGCAGGTGTACAAGCCTGATTTGAAGGTGTAACCCACTTACCGCCGGAAGACACCCTTGTGGAGGGAGTCTGGGAGGACAACCCAAACGTTGTATTGAAGTTAACGTACTGTTAGACCTTTTCAAATTCAGGGTGTCAGCAGGCAGTTCTCACTTATTATTAGGTTTCCTGGTTTCACTTCCAGCTTCTAGGACTGACAGAAGAGACCCAGTTACCTAGGTGAATAGTTTAGGGGGTTTTTTTGGTTTGCCTTTTTTTTTTTTTTAAAGTTTAGTTTTTGAAATAGTTTCTGTTTTCATGCCAGATGTTGAATACTTTGATCTACCGAGTCAGAGAAGTTGCCAGATACGTAGGACATTAAGGAGCGTGGTAAAGGAAGAGGTGTGGTACCGAGTCCCATAACTTTGTAATATGTGGAAAGATGTGATAATGATATACCTATTATAAAAATACAACTTCCAAGGAGTTTGGGCTTCTAGTATCAGTTTGAATTACAATGCACATGTATTGATTGTTACTCTATATATTACAAAGATTATTGGCTGGGTCTCTTTTCTTTCCTCTTGATTATCTTCAGATATCAAAGGAAAAAAGTCCTAGAAAAAAAAGAAAGGGTGATGTCAGCACAATATTCATGAAGCAGGGCTTGGTGACTGGTTCCATGGGTAGTATGCCAGTGAGGGGTATGTCTGCTACTCTATTTCCTGGACATTCTCTGGTGACACAGGCTAATTAATCATGGCTTTGACTGACCAAGATCTTAAAGCTGTGACTTATGCTACCGATTTCACACACATTTTCTGTTAATCCCACAACGGACCTCTCACAATCTGGAACCCCTTGGGGGATGTCAGAGAGCTAGATTCGGCCCAATCCCCGCAGGCCAGGGCGACTTCACTCCAGAGAAGGCCCCTGTCTTTTCTTTGGTGACAAGACTGTGCTCGTGGCTTCTGGGAAGCAGAACTCTGGAAAACACACATTTCTCACCAGTATCATTCCCTTCTGTGAGCGGCTCCTGTTGTCACTGCTCATTGTGCTGGGTCTTGTGATATATCCTGGGGTCTGGGTTGGCTCCCAGGGGGCTTATCCCTTGCTGGGGACACCCCAGGGTGTCCTTGTGGCTTGCCTTTTACCCCACGTACCCAGTTAGGAGGCTGGCTTCTGAGAAGTCAGACTTAACCACATGCAGAGAGAGATGCAGTCTTGAGAAAGAAAAAGATGAATCAAAGGACCGAATTCTTGCAAGATCCCTGCTTTACGCCTGGTAAGAAATGTGAGCTAATCAAAGCCAGGCTGAGGAACAGGATGTCCCCATGTCTGCGGGGGCTCAGGGCAGGAGATGAGCGTGCCTCTCCCCAGACGTGGTGATTACTGTGTTCCCCACGGAGACTGGCATTTCAGATCCGTTTGATGTTGTGAAGAAGCTGCTGCCCAAGGGGTGGAGGAACCAGGGGTGGTGGAGTGGAGAGTGTGAAGGACAGATCATTAGGTCCCCAAAGGACACGTTTATAGTTCGTGTGATGTATTTCTCGTGAGCCTGAAGGTAAGCATCAGAGGTTTCCCAAAACGTGTACGCATCTCACCTGAGAGCTAGCCTCCGTTACTCAGATAGAAATCCACACTTTAGGTGAAAAAGCTGGTCAGAGAAAATTACGGACCTCAATGTGACAGCCACTTCTCTGGAATTCCATCTAAAGGTCAAGTCCTAACTCCACTGCTTCATAGCGGTCTAAACATCAGTTTCCTCACCAGTAAAATGGGAATAAAATAGTACAGCCGCATTAATTGGTTTGGACAGTGCCTGGCACACAGAAGGCTCCCAAACAGAGTTACTAATGGTTGTGGTTGTTGTTAGTTACCGATATGTCTTAAGAAAAGGCAGAGACCACCTTAGCAGGATTACTTGGGAGTCACTCCCCTGCCACTGCAGGAGAAATAATGGTAAGATATGCATTATAACCGCTTTCTGGATGGGATTTTTTTTCACTGTTACTTAGAATTAAAGTTTCTCTCACAAAATCTGAGTTCAGGAATTAGTTTTCAATAGCCAACTATGATTTCAAAAAAAAACAAAAAAAAACAAAGCCCATCATTAAATGCATTGGATGACAATAAAATGACAAATATTACCATCAAAACATTTCTCTTTTGTTTTGTTTTTTTCTTTTATGAGGAGTAATCTTCACACAGCCAAGCCCACCCCGTCGGTAGAGATGTGTTTAACAAAAAGATTTGGAGATTTTTCCCCCCACTATTTACCAGGATTTTCATGCTTTGAAATCTGATTTTAGATAATATAGGGAGGGAGAGGGGAAGAGAGAGAGAGAGAGAAGCATCAATGATGAGAGAGAATCATTGATCGGTTACCTCCAACATACCCCCTACTGGCGATTGAGCCTGCAGTCCAGGCTTGTGCCCCGATTGGGGATCGAACCATGACCTCCTGGTTCATAGGTCGACCCTCAACCACTGAGCCATGCCGGCCGGCCGGGCCACTTGTTATGCTTTCTGTTTCAATGAAATGTTTTCTGTTTTGGGCTTCCCCAGGGGAAGCAGAGCTCTTTCCTTCTAGCCGTTTGCATCTTCCAGTTTTGTTCACAAAGAAGGACCCAATCAGCAGCTCACCAACACCAGACTGACCTTTAAGTAATGCCATTTGGATGTTTCTCCAGGCAGGCTATTTCTCATTTCTGAGCTCGGCTTCTAATGTGAAGATTCAGAACACCATGTTCTCCCTCCGCTGGACCTTCAGTGGGGATGAAAGGACAGAGATCAGCTCTCAGAGTGGGGGTTACGGTGCTGGTGCACAAGCCACCCCCCCCCACACACACACCCACACCCATACTCACACCCACACACACACACTCACACTCACACACACACTTGGGGTCTGACACCAAGATCTTCCCTTTGACCGAAGGGAACTGAGATTGCAAATGCAAGTCTGAGCTCATTTCTCTCTGAGCTCATCTCAATGAC